GTCAGTGGTGGTGAACCTATGGCACGGGTGCCAGAGGTGGCACTCAGAGCCCTCTCTGTGGGCACGTGTGCCATCGCCCCAGCCAGGCCCAGACCATCATTAAAGTGTCGAATTCTCTGCCAAATAATTTTAAGTAAATGAAAGCATTTGGGATTGCTTTCCTTACTTTGTTTGGATCCTCTTAAGTTAATGTATGGGTTGTTTTTTTCTAAAGTAAAACCTCAGTATTCAGGTTAAATTGCCGTGTTGGCACTTTGCGATAAATAAGTGGGTTTTGGGTCGCAGTTTGGGCACTCGGTCTCTAAAAGGTTCGCCATCACTGTCCTATGCCCTTGATTTGTTTGTCTGTTTTAATTGCCCTCTGGAACCCTGGTGAAGTGGACTATATAGGAAATGGTATTGTGATGGAGGGGGAAATCCTGTTGGGTGGCCTCGAGCTCCCAGAAAATTTGTCCCACAGCCTATGGGAGCTGCCTCATTGGGGAAATATAATGTGTATCCCATCGATATATGAGGAGGAAAAGACCGTGTTGGCCACGATCACACGCACAATTAGCCCCGCCATAGGTGGGAATGCCAGGCGGATTTAAAGGGCGCGATCGGACACGAACATCTGGGAAGCACCCCGCACCCAACGGCAAACCGTTTTGCTCCACCACAGAAGCAGAGTAAAAAGACACTGGAGGAAAATCCGGTAGTAAACGGGTTGTGACGAGCCACAGACAGAGTTTCCCGTGCCTGATTGCTCCAGTGCGCTCTCATGGCATCGGGATCAGGCCATCCCGACTCTGTGCCGTTTCCACACACACCCCTTCTCGGTATGCACATCATCACAAGCGCCAAAGGGAGACCTCAGTGTAGAGATGCAATTCATCAATTCCTCGTGTAAGCGCATCGGAAACAAACAGCAAAAAACAAAAAACAAAACCCAACCTGACTCACTTGCGGTTGTGTCTGATCACGCAGTAGCGGACTGTGCCCGCAGCTTTCAAGGACTGTGATTGCACAACTGCGGGTCAAATTCCTCTGGAAGAAATAGCCTCGCTCCCCCCCCCCTTTATCTCGTGCATGTGACCGCCCCGTTGAGTCACAAATTACTCATCCAGGGCTCTTTTTGTAGAAAAAGCCCAGCAGGAACTCATTAGCATAATAGGCCATACCCAACAGCAGGAACTCATTAGCCTATTAGGCCACACCCCCTGACAGCACAGCTTATTCGCATATTAGGCCACACCCCCATGTTACCAGAAGTGTGGTCATCCAGCCACACCCACCTTTTGCTTCTTACTCTGTTTACCTTGTTTGTTGTCAAAACCCAGGGCCTTTTTTTTTGTAGCAGGAACTCCTTTGCATGTTAGGCCACACCCCCTAATTGTAGCCAATCCTAATGAGTTTCTGCTGTTGGGTGTGGCCTATTATGTTAATGAGGTTCCTGCTGGTCGTGGCTAACTTGGGAGCCAGCCGGAACTCCGTTCCTGTGCGTTTCTGCCCCAAAATAGCCCTGCTCATGGGGCATTCCAGATAAGACGAGCACAAACGGTTTGCTGTTGCCTTCATCTGCATAACAGCTCCTTGTCTTCTCTGGTTGTCTCCCATCTAAGTACTGACTGTGGCCAACTCTACTGGGCTAATCAGGTTGCTAGAAGAAAAATGTGTCATCAATTCACAACTGACTTATGGGTACCGCTTTCATGGCATACTCCAGGCAAGAGAAGAGCAGAGGTGGTCTGTCATTGGCTTGGCTTCCTCTGCATAGCAAACCCAGTCTTCCTTGGTGGTCTACCATCCAAGTACTAACCATAGGCAACCCTGCTTAGCTCCCCAGCTCTGACGAGCCTTGGATAAGCTGGACTATTCGGGAGCCCTCAACAAAGCAAATAACACCCCTTTATCCCATTTTAGTTCAGGAACAGCATGGGGTGAAGACACTTTCTCCCTATAAGATGATCAAATCGGGCCCCTATGCGCATGCAAATTAACTTCTGAGCATGGAACTTGCAACGCGTATCGGTTTTCACTAGGCGTAAAGAGGATCATAATGTAGTTAGGATAAAAGTAAAACAGAGAGCTATTGGCATATTTGT